TGTATAAAACTAGTATATTGACCTCTATATTAGTGGTTGTGCAACAAATTTATCCAACAAAAATGAAGTAATTATCTTAATTTTTTAAACAGGTAGGTAATTAAGGAAATTATTTACAGAAAGTTAAGTGACAGTATTTAACCTGTAGAAGCGATGAAGTTTTCATCAATTGCGAATTTGCCGTATCAGTTTAATAGATGGCGCATTGCTAATTTGCCATCGAGATTCAGTAGATGGCGCACTAATACCCATGTGGAAGTCGTATTTCTTGTAAATTAAGTCTGCCTATAAAAATAAAAATTGAAGTACATACTTTCTTTATAAAACCGTTATGCTTTAAAGGAAAAAACTATATTTAAGAAAGATGACAACTAGACTCTGTAATAGCAAACGCAATTTTGTTTTAAAATATAAAACAAATAAATACATAAGGAGGTAGGGAAGTGTGGACTAAGGAATAAAACGAGATAATAAAAAGGGTTTGACAACAATAAAAATAACATTAAAAAATTAAGCACTAAAACGAGAAACCTCTTAAAAAGTAATTAGAGCAAGCAATAGAAACAAATGATAAAATTTTATAAATAAAAAGCAGATTTTAGTTATTTGAAAAATTCATAAATTTGAACATTCAACTATATATTATTTTAAATTATAAAATTATAAAAATCTTACCCAATGGACTATTCAGTAGAAAAACACTTACCTAAAACAAAAAATATCATTATTAGCGAATTATCTACATATTACTAGTAATGCACATTATATGCTAATTAGATTTAATGTTCAGTCAACATTACAGTTAACAGACGAGTTGGTGCTACATACCAAGCATACTTCATAAAACCTGCAGAGTTTTTGAGTCTGCATAAAACTTATGCAGACTCAAAAACACTTTGGGCGAATTAGCGCTACATGCATGATAACCCTATTCGCTCCAGGCCATTTTTTGAGGTGGGGAGCTGTATACCAACAAAAGCTTTTTAATGAAAATACCTTTTACGATACTTATGATAAATAATAGAAGATATATTCACCTATGAGGGTCAAAAAAATATTTGGAGCAATTTGAATTTATATGAAAATTTATAGTGTTTACCAGAATATCCAAATAAATATATTTGGGTATACCAGTATATCTACCCTTGGATATAAATTGTAGGGAAGGGTGAGATAAAATTTGATACTTAACGTTTGAGGCTGTATAACATCGAAACTATGTATTGGAGGCTACTTATATTTTGGCAAAGTGAAAACTCATTATTTTTGTATCAAAAGCACAAAAAAAGATTTTTTTATAAATGTATAAAAAAGTTATATGCAAAAATTTGATACCAATACAATTTCCCATTTTACCCACACTGTGTGGATAAAACGGGATACACCGTGGGGGTAAAATGGGATGGGATTTTTCTATGTTATTTTAATTAATATTCTTTTTTTTAAGTTTAATTTTTTTTATTTTTATGCAAAATACAACAACTTAAACTCAAAAATTCAAAATGAACGAAAAAGAGCAATTAACTAAATAAGAAATAACGATGGGCATAACCCAAAACAACGCCGAACATTTTCTCAACCTAATCATATCTGCAATATTTGCAAATAAATACATCATCATCGCTGTCAGATCCTGCACAAGTCTCATGTCCCCATTTTTTACAATTGCAACATTGTATCCAGTCTTCTCCTTTTTTGTCTGAAGAATATCTATTGTTGAAATAGAAGCATTCCTCATCTGCACTACTGTCACTGTTTTTTAATCCTCTTGGAAATATTTTCTTTTTTTACGGTTTTCTGCTTTAGTGACTTAATCTTGGTCTTTCAGTTAACATTTTTAACATTAACTTTTAGTTTTCTGGTAGCTAGAGATGTCTCCAATTCTTCTTTATAAGGGGTGCCTGTTAATATGACTTCTTCTTCTTACGGTGCCTTATCCTTAAGGACGTTGGCCATTACATTTGCCCATTTAATCTTATTTGTAGCAGCCCTGAATAGTTCTATGGAGGTCATGTTCGTCCATTGCCGTAGGTTTTTAAACCAAGAGTTGCGTCTTCTTCCTGGTCCACTTTTGCTATTGACTTTGCCTTCGATTATAAGTTGGAGCAGTTTATACTTTTGATTTCTTATGATGTGACCAAAATATTGTGTTTTCCGTTCTTTTATTATAAGCATAAGCTCTCTTTCCTTATTCATCCTCCGCAAGATTTCCGCATTTGTCGTATGGCTCATGTCGGATATTCTGAGCACTTTACGGTAACACCAGAGTTCGAATGCTTGGATTCTTTTTTGTGTTGCTTCTGTCATTGTCCAGGCTTCAACACCATAGAGCCAGGTGGAGAAAACATAGCACTTAAGTATTCTAATTCTCAATGAGATGCCCAGCTGGCGGTTGCATAGAACTTTTTGCATTTTGTAAAACATTGTACGTGCCTTTTCCAGGCGTATTCTTATCTCTAGTGAGTGGTCCCAAGTTTCATCAAGATTACTTCCAAGGTACGTTGTTCTTGTTACTCTTTCCAGATTTGTTCCGTCGACATTGACCTTCACCCTTCTGTTTTGGTGCTTGCTGATGACCATCGTTTTTGTCTTCCTTGTATTCAATTTCATTCCAAATTCTCTACAGGCTGTCGTTACTCGGTCCATTAAACGTTGCAGGGCTTCAGCATTATCTGCCAGTATGACAGTGTCATCAGCATATCGCAGGTTATTTATACATTGCCCGTTTATAATTATACCATCCGAGGTGCCTACCAAAGCTTTCTGAAATATCTTCCCAGAGTAAACATCGAACAGCAAAGGTGATAGGACACATCCCTGTCTTACTCCATTCTCGATATTGATTTTTCCAGATGTTTCGCTTTTTATTCTGATTTTAGCCTTTTGTTCTTGGTAGAGGTTTAAAATGATCCTTAAGTCTTTATCGTCGATATTACATGACCTTAAAATATCTATTAGTTTATCATGTTTCACCAGGTCAAAACGCCTTCTGAAAGTCTATAAAACACAAGTATACATCAGAATCGACATCTCTACATCTTTCAACTAGCACACGTATTGAAAAAAGTGCTTCTCTTGTTCCGAACCCATTCTTAAAACCAAACTGAGTTTGACCAGTGTGTTCGTCTAGTTTATTGTATACTCTATTGTGTATTACTCGTAGGAAAAGCTTCAACATATGATTCATCAGGCTAATAATCCTATGGTCTTCATATTTCTTGGAGTTTCTCTTCTTTGGTAGTGGTATAAACACCGACGTCAGCCAATCATTTGGTATTATGCCTGTTTCGTATATTTTGTTAAATATATCTTCCATTACTTCGATGTGTTCATCTAGTAATATCTTTATTATTTCAATTGGGATATTATCTTCCCCAACAGCTTTTCCGTTCTTTAACTGATTTGCCGCTTTGATAATTTCTTGCTTTGTGATATAAGGTCCAGTCGATGCCTCCTGCATATAAATGTTCGTCCTCTCTCGGTCTTGAAACATCTCTTCCACGTATTCTCTCCATCTACCTATTTGATCTTCTATGTTCAGTAGCGGGTTTCCATGTTTATCTTCGATGAAAGACGTAGGAGTTTGTTTAAATATTCCAGCGGCTTCTTTTACTTTTTTATGTAGATGGAAAGTATCATGTCTTTGTTCCAACTCTTCAATTTCTTGGCATCTTTCACTTTCACTGGCCAGGTTTCTTTGGCTTGTTGGATCTTTATTCTGATATTCTTGTATATTTGCTTGTATGTTGTTTCATTTTTACCTCTGTATTTTCTTCTTTCGTCCATCATGTTTAGAATTTCTTCTGTCATCCATGGTTTGTTCTTTTTTCGTGTATTTTGTTTGAGGTAGTCTTCTGTTACTCTTGTAAGTGTTTTCTCAATATAGTGCCATTCTTCCTCGGGAGTTTGTGTCGATTGTACTGTTCTGTTACTCAAGTGTCTATGTATTTCTTCCCGTATTTTATTACTAGTGGATTCTTCTTTAAGCTTATCTAGGTTAATAGGTATTATTTGCTTATTTCTTTGTGTTCTTTTAAATTCTATCCTAATTGTTGCAAGAAGAAGATTGTGGTCGGTGGGTATGTCAGCTTCGGGGTATGTCTTGCATGCTTTTACTGCGTTTTTGTATCTTTTGTTGACCATTATGTAATCGATTTGATTTCTTGTGATGCGTCCTTCTATTCCATCTGCTGGAGATTTCCACGTGTAGAGACATCTGGGTGGTAACTTAAATAAGCTGTTCATTATACTGTACTGATTTTCTTTACAGAACTGAAGCAGTCTATATGACAGTTAATATGACAGTTTTACCTTTATTTTTACTCTCTTACTTAATTTTTTTGCGGTGCTTTTGGATAGGGAACAACTTGTTCCGGAGAAAATAGACCTAAACCAGTGCTTGTTGAGGGCATATTCATAAGTAAATCTTTAGAAGATTCAATATTTTGTCTCTCTGGAGTCACTTGTTCTTCGACATTTAATGGAGTAGATGCTCGTAGGTAAGCTTTTCCAAATAGGTGAGGTACCTCTGAGATGGTTACACATCGCCCTGGATGATGTCTCAGCCACACTTCTATTTCTTGCGTACAAAATGTATTTAACGGATACATCACGGAAACATCCAATGGCTGCATCCTATGGCTCGTATGAGGAGGTAGGCAAATTATTGTCTATCCATTTTCTCCATTTTCACGTGCTTTTCAATAATAGCAATATTTTGTGTATGGGTTTTATGGCCATCCAAGATTAAGAGAGATGCACTTCCGTTACTACTATTTACGAATTGTAAAATTTAATCTTGGACCATTTCCAGTGTAAAATCTAACACTTACCAATAAATAAATTCTTTCTTGGGGATTTTAAATAAATATTTATATAAAGCTCAAAAGCGTACTACAAAATTTTATACATAAATATTTCATAATTAAAAACAAATTTTTTAACACGTTACAACATATTATACCATTGTATACAATAGTAATCTATTCTTTATGTTCTAGGTATGAACAACAACCAATGCGTTTTTCCTCGAGGAAAAGTAATTGGAGGGTCCACCACGATTAATGGAGCAATCTATTCTAGAGGAAGTTCCTCTGATTATGACAACTGGGCAGCAATGGGAAATGCGAATTGGAATTATGACAAAATTCTGCAGTATTTTAAAAAGTCAGAGTATGTGGCATTTAAACCATATGATGCTGGTTATCACGGCACGCGTGGCGAACTATATGTAAACCATACCTCACCACCATCAATTCTATCACAGCACTATATAAACGCTAATAAAGAAAAAAATTTAAAAGAAATTGATTATAATGGAAAAGAACAGATTGGAGTGTCCAGGATTCAATTCAATCAAAAAGATCATAAACATCATAATGCTGAACACGCATTTTTGGATCATATAAAATCAAGACCTAATTTAAAAATTTTACTTAATGCAGCAGTAAACAAAATTATTTTAGATAACCACAAAGCAAAAGGTGTTACGTTTGTATTAAAAGGAACCACATATAAAGCTAAAGCAAAGAAGGAAGTAATCTTGTCAGCAGGAGCAATAAACTCTCCTCAATTATTAATGTTATCTGGAGTTGGGCCTCGAGATGATTTAGAAAAACTAAATATTCCAGTTGTAAAAAATTTACCAGCTGTAGGAAAAAATTTACAAGACCATCCAATTTTTAGTAATATTTACTTTAGAACAAATCAAACCTTTCAAATTCCTTCTCTTAGAGACAATTTGGCCAGCTATTTGGAAGGAAAAACACCGTTTACTAACGGCGTTGGCATCGAAAATCTTGCCTTTATTAACTCAAATCATATAACAGCTGGCGAAGTTGATTTAGAATTTATGAGTTTTGCTAGTCCCATAGTCCAGTTGCCATTAGGTACCTCTAATTATAGAGAAGTTATCAGCCAAGTTTACGCTGATTATAATGCTTCTACTGATATGGCATTTTTGGTTTCATTAATGAAGTCAAAGTCTAAGGGAAAAGTAACATTAAAGTCAAACAATATCATCGACTTCCCTCTTATAGATATTAATTACTACTCTGATCCAAATGGCGAAGATATAGAAACAATGTATAAGGGAATTAAATATCTTTTAAGCCTTGCAGAGACAAAATCATTTAAAAGTATTAACGCTACATTTATAAGTAAACAACCACTTTGTGAACATCTTAAAAATAATGACAGAGAATATTGGTATTGTGCATTGAGGCACATGACCAATACTGAATACCACCCCGCTGGAACTACTAGAATGGGTCTTTCAGAATCGAGTTCTGTAGTAAATACTAATTGTGTTGTTCACGGCTATAAAAATTTAAGGGTCGTTGATGCCGGAGTCATGCCAGAGATTACAAGGGGACATCTAATGGCTACAGTTTATATGATTGCTGAAAGAATTTCAGATGTAATTAAGAACCAATATTATAATAATATTAGTCACTGTTACCTTTAAAAAGTATTATTTAGAGTTATTCCTTAAATGTAAAAAAAATAAAGCAAAAAAATTTATAACACATTTTTCTTTTTGAATCGAATCTTTTATAGTGGCGTTGTATTTTACTTTTTTCTTTTTAAAGAAAAACTGAGGCGAGCGTCACAGAACTAGCGCCAAAGGTGCAGTGGTCACAAAAGTAGCGTCATGCAATAGCGAGCTTCACATCGAGTCACTACTCTCGATCAATTCGTTTCTGGTCATCATATATTTATTCTAAGCAGGTTTAAATTTAATACTACACGAAAAATAACTAGCAAAATACAGACATAAAATAAAAGTGAAAAATTAAAAGCATATCTGTCAATAAAAAATACTAAAACAAAGACAACAATAAAAAATCGATACAAAATTCGATTCGTAACGATCTCAAACAACAAAATTTATCATAAATGTCAAAACTGCAAATGTTTGACTACAACATGTAGAAGAGATAGATCCTCAGAAATAAGTAGCTTCAAAAGAAATGGAAGGGTGCTTATAGCTGTCCGGAAAACCATAACCAGTGTTCGTTTGTCAGCAACTCACAATATCGAACATCTGTTTTTCAAGACTGAGATTAGCCACATCGACAAGTTTATCTTTGCAATTTCTTACTTTCCACCACGTAGTATCATTGAGAAATATGTCAAATTTGCAGAAACTGTAGATAATCTAGCTGAAAAGTATCCAGAATATAAGTTATGTATGCTGGGAAATTTTAATCTTCCCAATTGTTAGTCGTCCATTGATGGATTGTCTTTTGTCTCTACTCCATTACAAAGGAACCTTACCAAATAAAGTCGATTCCATTCAATTCCTCTCATTTTTATGTTCCTTTTATAATCTGTATTAACTAAACACTGTTAAAAATAAAAACAACTGCTTATTAGATCTAGTTATGGTCCAAGATAAAGATGTTGAGGTATCTAGAGCTGAGAGTGCCATATTTCCAGAGGATAGGCATCATCCTCCACTCTCATTTGGGTTTAAATGTGAATCTCAATATTTCAATAAGCCAGGATTGGTTGGAGATGGCTTTTTTAGAGACTTTCGCTCAATGAGTGTACGAGAAGTACCAAACTTTCTTTCACAATTTAACTAGGATGATTTGTTTAAAGATAAAAGTCTTAATGATTATCAACCTGTTTTATGATGTTATTTAACTTGGAATTGATATTTTTGTTTCCCCAAAAAAGTTTCTCGAAAAAAATTTTCCTGTCTGGTATTCTATAGAGGTTAAAAAAACAATAATAAAAAAAAGAAAATGTGTAAAAAATATCTAAAATCTCAATTACTTGACTATAGAGGAAGACCCCCCTACACGATGCACTGACGATCTCAAAAATATGTCAAGAAATTGGATAAAAAGTGCTCAAAACAGAGCACAATGAACAAAAATGAAGGAGGCCTATGTCCAGCAGTGGACGCAAAGGGCTGGATGATGAAGATGATGAATGAGTTTTAATTATTGCGAGCTAACTGTAAATAACTGAAAGAACAATGCTATCTTGATTATGTTACTCTAACTGAATCTTATTGTGATAGCAATCTATGCACCAGAGAACAACCGAGATACCACCACAAGGAAAAACTTCTACGAACACCTTCAGAATGTAATAAACGAGATTCCACATATAAATAATATATTCCACATAATTAACGACATATGCAGTTGCTCTGAATCGAAACAAAATCTCTCCAATCATATGACAATAATTATAAAAATAATTATAACCGGACGTTACAACGCCATCTAATAATTCAAATCTTTACCACTGTGCTTGCTAAAACTTGCAAATCAGACAGATTAATAAATTCGACGGCAAGGGAATCTATAATTTGCATTCCACATGCCGTTCATCATGGTAAAAATTCTTAGTGAATTTAGTTTCGAGTACCAGAAAATTGTATCAATAAAGGCATCAATAAGATCATCTGGCTGAACAAAAAGAGGCACGTGTGAATTGTTGGCAGGAAATGTTGAAGAAATTTGATCGCGGTGCATTAACTACTGTGTGACATCCAATATAATATTAGAAATCAAACATAATCCAACAAATCCAATAAAAGTTGTTCGTGGAAAAAGCACATCGAAACAGACAGTCGCTTATTTCTTTGGTATAAATAATGTTCATGTAGTTACAGTGCCATTACTGGAACGTGAGATGGTAAATTCTGAATGAAATACAACTATTTGTTTGTCAGAAGTTTGCAGTAAAATTTAAATAAGAATAAAAGCAGCGAATCATGCAAGCTCAAACACATCAGCACATATATCGGAATTTTTGACCGGAAAACAGATCGAATTAATGGGTCATCTGCCGTAGAGTCTTGATTTGGCTCAAATGACTTCTTTTTATTCCCGAATACCAAAAAACAAATTGCGTGGTCAGCGATTGTCGATGCCGAAGAAGCGGTTGAAGCGAATTTTTAAAAGCATAAAGCTATTTTCGACCATAAATACCTGTTATGTCGTAGTTAGGCCATAAATATAAATAGCAACCTCTCGTATTCTATAGGATAACGAAATTATTGACTAAAACTTAGCCTGTATATTGGCAGCAACGTCAACAGCCATCAAGATTATTTGACAGAAATAAAGCAAGTTATAGCAATAACTAAAACGTAAAATACACATATTAGAATGGGTACCATCTGCAATAGTTGATATCACTCCCTGAAAATTAAATATTCTTTTCTTATGTGTTGTTCATTTTGTTATACTGTGTGGATGCTTAGACTATATCTCAAACTTTGATGAATAAACTAGAGTCACTTAATATTCACGATTGTGAGAACATTTTGTGGAAGGAAAATAGACAGCGGGAATATAAAGAAAAAAGAAATCCGCTAGCTGAAATTTCTGGGCCGTATTATGGTAAGCTAAGAACGATACAGAGTACTTCGCGTTACAAGAAAAAGCTGACATCGGAAGAGAACCCGAAAAGGGACCAATTCCCTAGCTTCTAAATCTGTTTATTTTTTGCATAGAGAACTGACCTCTATTGTTTTACACGGGTCTGAAATGACTTAATTTATTTACTTATGTGTGGTGCTTTTTGTTTTTATTTTCTTACAGCTAGGAATTGTTATTTTTCCTTGACACGCTTTTGTTATCGGTGATACAACAAATTAATTTGTAAAAGCAGATATCGGCAGTATATAGAAACAAAACTATAAATACAACACACAAAGCGTTAATATTAATTGGTAAACTAACGTATTTGGTGCAATCACTAAGTCATTTGTAATACTTAAGCATAGATATTAGTAACCTTGAATAAACAATCAAGCCACAAAATGTAAAATAAACCAATAATTATATCAAAACTGTTAAATATTTATATTTTAGAGAAGATTTTACAGTATAAATTTAAAAATCATATTTACTTTACTGTCTTTCCATTATGCAATACTTGATGAAGACAGTCTGCCTTTGTTTACTAGTATCTTCTGTTTTCACTCAAGATCTCGATCAGCTGTACAGCTATGTGAGTGCAAAAATAGCGGAAACAAATACGTATCAGGCACCAGTAAATAATGAAAGGTTATTTAAAACGGATAATTCTACTATATACGGTAAGTAAAAACTTATTATAACCATTCGTTTTGTAGCAATAATAACCTCGTTTCATGTCTTTTCATCACCCCTCTCTCTCTTCCTCACACTTTTTCTTGGAGAATATATTTGCAGTAGGCCTGTTTTATTAATGTGCAACACGAACCAGTCTTTCTCTCCGTTTATATATCTTATTTTTCTTCTAGTGCAGTCTCCACTAATGAAGGTTGGCTACAACCATTGCAAATTCGTCTCTATCTGCTACTTTTTTAAAAGTGTCTGTGTGTTCAACCGCGTTCAACCTGGTACAGTCACGAACGTTTTTCAGCCAGGATATTTGTCTCTACCACGACCTCCTTTTCCTTCGATTTTACCCTTCATAATCAGCTGCAACGACTCGTACTTATCATTTCTAAGTCATCATCATCCAGCCTCATTTTCACATCCATTTTTGGATATAGGCCTCCTCCAAATATCTCCAGTTCTCTCTATCTCTAGCTGCTGAAATCCAGTTTGTTTCTATTCTCCTTAGGTCGTCGGTCAATCGGGTAGGTGTTCTGCCTCGACTTCGCTTGTCGGCTCTTAGTCTCCACTTCAATAATCTCTTCTTTCATCTTTCGTCTTCCATTCTAGCAACATGTCCAGTCCACCTCCACTTTTGTTTATTAATTCGCAGTATAATATCGTCTACGCCAGTTCGTCGGCGTATCTCCTCATTTCTTACGCTATCTTTCAAGGTCAGTCCCAGCATTGATCTCTCCATTCGCCTTTGTGTTACCCTCAGTTTTTCGGCAGTAGCTTTCGTTAAAGTTAGGGTCTCTGCTCCGTAGGTCAAGACTGGTAAGAGGCATTGGTTAAATGCCTTCCTTTTCAGGTGAATTGGGATATTTGTTTTAAAAATGTCTCTCATCATTCCATATGCCGCTTATCCCAACGTGATTCGTCTATTTAGCTCGCAGGTTTGGTTGTCTCTGGTTATTCTAATTTCATGACCCAAGTATGTGTATTTATCGATTAATTCTATCTTGTTGTTATTGATCTGTATTTCTTCACTGGGAACCATATTGGTCATCATTTTAGTTTTCTCGAAATTTATCTCCAGCCCAGTTTCTTGTAGTATGTCATTCAGTTCTTGGAGCATGTCTTTGATCTCTCCCAGATTATCTGACAGAAGCACGATATCGTCCGCAAAACGTAGATGGTTTAATCTTTATCCATCGATGGATATTCCTTTCTGTTGCAATGTTAGTCTTTTTAATGCATACTCAAGAACGGTAATGAACGGCTTTGGTGACATGGTGTCACCTTGCCTGACTCTCCATTTATCTTTATTTTCATAGTTGAAGAATGTAGACTTATGGTTGTTGTGGCATTTTCATAATATATATTTTTAACTATAGTACAATATCTGTGGTCACCCCTGCAATCTTGTAGTGCTCTTAAGATGGACAATGTTCCACTGCATCAAACGCCTTTTAATTCCTTAGTATGTGCCCCTAATATGCTGTCTTTCGCCTTTTACTGATGGCCAAAAGTTCTCTGTCTCTTCCCATTGTGTACAACACCATTTCGTTCGTAATATGATCGGTCCATAGTATCATTAGAGAATTTAAAATTCTCCTAAAAAGCCACTTCTAAAAGCTTCCAGTTTTCTCATTAAAACAACATTAACGGTAATTCTCATTATCGAAGCCTAACGTCCAGGCTTCGATAAAATAAAGAAAAATAGAGTGGATAATACATTTTACCATCCGACATCGGATTTGCAGATTGAGTCTTTGATTACTCAAAAATTTCCTCATCTTGAAAAAGGCTGCTCTTGATTGCTTTATTTTTGAGCGAATTTCATATTTCGCATTCGGAATCTTCCGTAATCGAGACTCCTAAGTATTTCATTTTGTCCATTAGCTCAATATATTCATTTTTTATCTGGATCCTTGTGATAACTTTGTCCCTTTTACTGATAACCATGATTTTTGTTTTCTTTATGTTTATTAATAAACCAAGCGGTTCCCCAAAATCATAAATTATTTATAGTAACGTCTGTAGGTCTGTCTCACTTTCAGCGATAATGACTGTATCGTCAGCATAGCATATGTTATTTATATTATCACGATTTATCTTGATCCCTTCAGGAGTATCCTTTAAAGAATCTATTACGTGATATGATGAAGTTATGACTGCTGAGACGTTATGTGAGACGTAATTATCTATTCAGAGGCTTAGAAAGAGCTACATAGAAGACATGAATAATACTAGATGTGCTCCATGTCTGTAAAAGAGGCAAGAATAACATTGAACACTTTACGAAATTTTATAGAGCAAACCAGCATTTCTGAAAAACAAGAATTGTCTGCTCTTTATACATTATACAAGTCTGTATATTGAAAACAACCGAAAATATTTTTTTATTATAATCTTATTTTAAGGATGTTTTGAAATAATGTTGATTTATCTTCTTCTTGTGGTGCCTATCCGTTACGGGTATTGGCTACTAGCATGGCAATTCTAACTTTATTGATCGCAGCTCTAAATCAAGGAAAACCGTTTTCGTAAATTCTGGAGCCAAGATATTCTTCTTCTTCCTGATCCCCTATTTCCGTACACCTTTCCCTGTAATATAAGTTGCAGCAGGTTATATCTATGGTGGTTTCGCATTATATTTGCAAGATATTCTAGCCTACGCTGTTTCACTGTGGATATAATTTCACATGGTTTATCCAACCGACGTAGAACCTCAATGTTTGTTATTCGGTCCACCCAGTAGAGCCTTAGTATCCGTCTATAACAGCACATATCCTAACAGCACATCGGCAGACCCCATAGAGGAGCACTGTAAACACGTAGCATCTCAATTAACGAATTTTAGTTTTTAAGGATAAGTTGTGGCTCTTAAATATCTTGCTCATTTTGAAAAACGCTGACCTGGCTTTTTCAATTCTTTGTTTTATCTCAACTGAGTGGTCCCATTTGTCGTTTATGGTGGTTCCTAAATAGTAGTAATGGGGTACTTGGAGTATTTGTTGCTGATCTACCAGTAATTGACTAGGTGGAATATGCTTCTTACTGATGACCATGTACTTTGTTTTCTTGATGTTAAAATCAAGCCCGTATTCTTGACTGATTATCCACAATTGCATTACTAGTGTCTGTAAACCTTCTAAACTGTCTGTAAAGAGGATGGTGTCGTCTGGATATCTGATGTTATTCAGGCGCTCAACATTTATGAGAATACCCTCTTCGATATGCTCTAAGGCCTATCTCATGACGTGTTCCGAATAGACGTTAAATAATAGGGGAGAGAGTATGCAGCCCTGTCGTCCGTGAACAAGGCTTCTCTTGTACCTAACGCATCCCTAAATCCAAACTGCGTTCGTGAGGTCTGTGACTCGCATGTCTGATAAATTCTTTTATGTATTATCTTTAAGAAGGTCTTAAGAATGTGGCTCATTAGACTGATAATCCGATGCTCTGCGCATTTTTTTGCATGAGTTTTTTTAGGTATAGCAATAAATGTAGATTTTAAGCAGCTCTCTGGGATTCCATAGATTTTATTAAACGTTGTCGTAAGCCATTTTCCTCCTTCATCTCCCATGATTTTTAGAAATTCTGAATGAAAGTTGTCGGGCCCTGGTGCTTGATTTTTATTTATTAAAAATGATGATTTATAATAAATAAACATTTATTTGTTACCTCTTTAACTTAAAAACTCTATAACTCGAATGTCGAATTTTTGGCGTCTTCCTTGATGTTCGACATAGATGCTTTACAGTATATTTAAAGAAGCCCAACAGCTTAAGAAACCCAAGGCTTTGACAGAGCTTCTACAGTTTTTCTGTTCTGTGCCAGAGTTTTTCAGTTCTAAACTTTCTTGTCTTACTCTTTCTCTTTTAGTACCTGTTTCTGTAATGATCAAAATAATTTTGGGATGCTGTTATTGGCCCTTAGTCTTGCAGTATGTCCTAGTCAATTTAATCTCAGTTGTTCAATACTTGTTATTTCTGGTTGACCATACATTTCCATAACCGTATTAGTTTACCTTCTTCGACAATTAGCACTCTTAATTGTTATCCAATTATTCTTCTAGGTACTGTACATTTTCATAAGTCATTTCAGCATCGTTATTAAGAATCCACGTCTCACTTGCATATAAAACTGTAAGTGTAGTTACTGTGGTATTATATATTTTTATTTTTGTTTTTCCTCTACTTTTTTTACTTTAGTAATCTGGCTAGGTACCTATACAAAAAGTAAAATTAATATTTCTTAATTTATAGATTTTGGAAGATACGATTTCATAATTGTTGGTGCTGGAGCTGCTGGTTGTGTTTTAGCCAGGAGACTTACGGAAGTTAGCAAATGGAACGTTTTACTTCTAGAAGCCGGTGGAGAAACAAATGCATTCAGTGATATACCAAGATTCAGCAATGCTTTGAAACAGACCGATATGAACTGGGGCTACTTAACCACCCCCCAAAAAACTTGCTGTCAAGGTAATTTTAAATTGCTTAAATTTTGAGCATTATTATTTATTAATTGAATAATACTCTGGAATAATGCAAGCTAAAACTCTATAAAAGAACATTAACACCTTAATCGCCACCATAAAGGAGAGTGTTGTACCTTGGAACACTTTTTTTAATGACCTGTAACCATTTTACTATTTAACGTATTGAGTTGGAATTTAACATAGCAAATTAGCAATATGTTTCTTAAGCACCAATGTATTTAAAAGGTTTAAAGAAATCCACAAGGAATGTACGTTCCTGTAGTTGGCTGTATACCATATATTATAAAATTTATTAAAAATCCTTTGTAAAAGGTATATATTTAATATAAAATAATATAAGTATAATTTAAAATAAATATATACCTTTTACCGACGTACAATTTGGTCTTGCACCTTGGACCTCCTAGTATTGTACCTTGGAACATTAATTCAGTTACCAAAATAATATAAAAAGATATATTTTGGATGAGGAAAGTGATTCTGTAGTAATAGGTGTCGTTTATGCGTCTAATGCTTACTCTCCTAGTTCGCAAGTTTCGAGTGACTCGGAAGATGAAAATAGGGATGTTAATGTAGTTTTTGCCCCAAAAAAACGTAAATTATGTCCAGAAGTAAATGTTACAATGGATTCCAAAGCTTCTTCAAGCAAAACAAATAGTTTATCTGCCTCTAATGGTGTTGCAGATTTGCCGACTAGCTCACAATAAACAGGCTCAAATAATATCCATTTAAATATACAAAATGTAGACAATGTTATTAAATACGTAATTTTCCAGTACTGGGCTGAAAGTGGCCCAGAAAATAAAAGTTGTACTCAAGATGACCTAATTGACTTCAATAAATTACAGTAAAACCCTATTGACGGATCATCTTTGATGGAAAATATACAGGAGGCTCAAATCTATGAAGATTATATAATTATAGATCCCTATAGTTTTTTTAAGTTATTTTTTTGTGACGAAGTGGCTACTCTAATGATTGACGAAACCATTATAAACCATATTAAATAAAATAAATATATCAGCAGGATAATTAATAATAGGATTTGATAAAATAACAGAATATTTGAATTTTACATCAAACATTTTACGTTTTGTATTAAATTAAAGTTATAATCAAAACATTTTATTTACATACCAAATTAAGAAATAGTTAAACTAAATCACATTAAACTTTTTGTCAAAGTAAGTGTTCGATATGTCCACCATTTTCTTTAATTCATTTGTCAATACATTCCATAAAATATCGTCTCATATTAAATAGCATCATTAGTTCTAAAAAAAATGCTGCAGTACTAATTATAAGTATTATAAGTCTAATAATAGCTATTCTTTCGGGATTTTTATGAATTAAATAATAATATTAATATCTCACCACATGACCCAGGAATATGACTAACACGAACGTTCAGGAAAGTTGTTTTTAAATATTGTTCTCACTCCCCTTTCTCTGTAACGTATTGGTGTACCATCTTGTATAAACCACATATTAAGCCTTAAATTTGATGACAATTCTTCCATAATAATAAAATCATTTTATAAAAAATGTAAATAAATCTTACCATTCAAATTTCAAGGAATTTCAAGGTTCAATTGGAACGATTGGTAATTATTTTTTACGGATATGTGAATTAACTTGCAGTTTGAATGTCGAGATTTATTTACATTTTTTATAAAATGATTTTATTGATTTATTGGAAGATTTGTTATCAAACTTAAGGCGAAATAAGTGGTTTCTACAAGATGGTACACCATTACATTACAGAGAAAGGGGAGTGAGACTGTATTTAAATACAACTTTCCTGAACGTTGTATTGTTCGTGGTAGTCATATTCTTGTGGTGAGATATTATTCTAATTATTTAATTCATAAATATTTCAAAAAATTACTTATTACTTAGAACACCTATAATAAGTACTGCAGCAGTTTCTTTAGAACCAATGATGCTATTTGATATGAGACGATATGTTGTGGAATGTATTGACAAATGAATTAAAGAAAATGGTGGACATATTGAACACTTACTTTGACAAAAAGTGTAATAATATTTAGTTTACCTATTTCTTAATTTGGTTTGAAAATAAAATGTTTTAATTATGACTTAAATTTAATACAAAACGTAAAATATTTTATGTAAAATCAAATTATTCTGTTATTTATCAAATCCTATTATTTTATCCTGTTGATATATTTATTTTATTTAATAATTCATTAACTTAACTTTATTAAAGGTATTTTATACCAAAATTCAGAAGTATTGATGTTTTTCTTTAATTTTCATTCGTTGCCTGGAGTAATTGCGATAAATCAGAATTATGTAGTTGATTTCTAAAATGTGGTTTTCTCGAAAACTGTTGAGCTTTGAAGATATTAACAGGTATACCTTTTTTTTGTTAAAATAATGTATATTTATTATTTTTTAATAAAATTACTGGAATCTTGAAGAGCAAAAAAGTTAAGTGCAAATGTATGCCACATATGTGTCATATGTGGCGCCCTCTATCAGTTACATCAAAGGGTACATCAAATTATAATTTATGATATTTAATAGTACCCAGTTGTAAATATTTATACATAAATGACAAACATGAAAGTTAAAGCAAAAAAAAAATTAGATTTCCACTTTAACACCCTGTATCTTTTTTAATATCAACATTTAATTAAAGCAACTTGACGTAAATCGTAATATTTTAAAGTGTCGAATCTACGGTTTCTTTTTGTACAATTACTTAAGGACCACCCTGTATAGATGTAATATTTTTTTAGACCTAAATAACTACTTTGCTTTCCGGGCCACATATTTTCAACTTTCATATAAATACTACACAAGTGCGGCACACCGTGTAAGCCACGATCCGCAAAATACCAGACTGCATTTAGGCAGAACATATATATCACGCCGTCCGAATATCAAAATTGGGTGTGACACGCGCATTATACTACGCGGCACTTAACGTGTTAAAGAATACATATTATTAGTAGTTATGGTAGTAGTAGTAGTAATCGTAGACTTGCTAGTACTGGAAATAGATGCTTGAAGTCTACTTCATAGTTGAACGACATTCAATTAACTATTTTATCTTTGTAGGTATGAACAACAACCAATGTGTCTATCCCAGAGGAAAGGTAATAGGAGGTTCTACGACAATCAATGGTGCAATTTACGCCAGAGGCAGTCCATCAGATTACAACCATTGGGCAGATATGGGAAATTGGGGATGGTCTTACAACCAAATTCTTTACTACTTTAAAAAGTCTGAACATGTCGCCCTTAAATCATATGACGTTGGTTATCATGGAACAAATGGAGTACTTTATGTTAATCAAACAGCACCTCCTTCAATTGTTGCAAAATATTACATAGATGCCAACAAAGAGAAACATCTAAAAGAAATTGACTACAATGGAAGAAGACAAATCGGAGTGTCAAGGATTCAATTTAATCAAAAAGATTATAAACACCAGAATGCTGAGCATGCGTTTTTGGATGATATAAAGTCTCGATCTAATTTAAAAATTGTTCTTAATGCAGGAGTAAACAAAATTCTTTTAGAAAATAAAAAGGCAACAGGAGTAACGTTTGTGTTAAATGGAACAACATATAAAGCCACAGCAAACAAGGAAGTAATTTTATCAGCAGGAGCAATAAACTCACCCCAACTCTTACTTTTATCTGGAGTTGGACCTAAAAGTGATTTAGAAAAACTTAACATTTCTGTTCTAAACGACCTACCGGCTGTTGGAAGAAATATGCAAGACCATCCTTTGTTTGGTAATCTGTATTTTAGGACCAACCTATCAGCTCCAGTTCTATCTCTTAAAGAAAATTTGGCTCTTTATTTGGAAGGAAAAACACCCTTTACCAACGGCAATGGTATCGAAAATCTTGCTTTTATTAATGCCGACCATATAACTACCGGAAAAGTTGATATTGAGTATTTAACTTTCGCTCCTCCTCTAGGTGTACCGCCCAAGAATTTGATGAATTTTCAAGATGATGTTGCCAAAGTATATAGTAATTACAATGCTTCGACTGACCTAGGAGTGTCGATGTCCTTAATGAAACCTTTGTCTAAAGGGAAAGTGACTTTGAAATCAAACAACATTATCGATTTTCCTCTTATCGATATAAATTACTTTTCTGATAAAAACGGTAAAGATCTAGAGAGAATGTATAAAGGAATCAAATATCTTTTAAGCCTTGCCGACACCAAAGCATTTAAAAGTATTAATGCTACTTTTATTAGCAAGCAACCTCAGTGTGAACAACTTAAAAATAACGATAGAGAATATTGGTATTGCGCATTGAGGAGTATGGCCGTTACAGAGTTCCATCCTGTAGGAACGACAAGGATGGGTATTTCTAAGAGAAATTCTGTAGTAAATACAAACTGTATTGTGCATGAGTATACAAACTTTAGGGTAGTAGATGCAGGAGTTATTCCTGAAATAACAAGCGGGCATATGATGGCTCCTGTTTATATGATTGCTGAAAGAATTTCAGATGAAATTAAAAACGCACATAGATGGCTTGGATAAAATTATTAAAAGTAATATTACCAGTAATGTAAAAAATTTAAATATAATTTAAAATAAAACTATAGGTGCATCATTTTATTTTATTAATGGAAATAATTGTCAAAATAACTGTTAAACCTAATGTGAAATTTGGGATTCTTCCCGAAAAATATTAATTTTAGCGGTTTTCTGAAGATAATTGTAATTGTACTAACTAATTATTAATCTTCTCGAAATTTGGTATATTTAAATTAATAATTGGTAAATGCAGTAGGTGAACTCTAATAGCCCTAGAATTATGGGTCGAATATTATAAACAAGATAGATATTATAAACCGAGAAATCTATTTAGAAAAATACGCTACCTGACAAGAGACTTCAGAGCCAGAACTTGGGCCATTGAAGATAACACTGGAACCCTGAGAACAAACAGAGAAGACATAGCAGAGACATGGAGATCGTATTGCAGGGACCTATATAAAGATGATCAACGCTAAGAGCTTGTTAGCCAAATCTCTGACGAGGTGGAAGAAGAACCCGATATACTCGAAAATGAAGTAAGACAGGCTATCAACAAGCTCAAATATAACAAAGCACCAGGTCCAGATATGATAACAGCAGAAATGCTTAAAGCCACAGAAGAAACCGGCGTAAAGTTACTTCATCTACTCTGTAACCAAATATGACATTCCAAACAATGGTCTGAAGACTGGACAAAATCTACAATAACGACCATAAGTAAAAAAGGCAGCTTCCATAAATGCGACAATTTTAGAACTATCTCTCTTATATCCCATGCCAGCAAGATAATGCTACATATAATCAATCAGAGACTGAAAACATTCCTTCAAAGAGAAATTCCACAAGAGCAAACTGGATTTACCAAAGGTAGAGGCACTTGAGAACACCTGCTGAATATAAGACAGATAATCGAGAAATCTAGGGAATTCAACATCCCACTATACATCTGTTTTATAGATTACCGTAAAGCGTTTGACAGGGTCAAGTGGAGACACTTATGGCGAATACTAAAAGAAGTAGGCGTACCACAACATCTAATTACGCTTATAACCGAACTATATGAACACACTACTGGATCAGTTAAAGTACTTGACACACTTTCGAACGAATTTCATCCAGAACGGGGTGTCAGACAAGGATGTATACTATCTTCACAATTATTCAACATATATGGGGAGTATATTATGCGAAGAGCACTTGAAGGATGGGAAAAGGGCATCTCAATAAATGGTCATAAACTAAACAACCTACGTTTCGCAGATGACACAGCCCTTCTTGCAAATAGTCAAGCAGAGCTGATAGTACTTATACGACTGATCGAAAACGAAAGTCAAATATTTGGTCTGCAATTAAACATATCAAAGACAAAGATCATGATAGTGGATAGACTACACAACAATCATCCACACATAACCACAATTGACCGGTTCGAGGTTGTGAGCTCATACTTATATCTGGGATCATTAATCATAAACACAGGGTCATTACAAGAAGAGATTAAACGTAGATCTGATCTAGCAAAAGTTGCCACAGCAAAAATGACCAAAATATGGAAGGACTGTCAAATTTCAAGAGTGATAAAGATGAGGTTGATTAACTGCTTAATATTCCCAATACTGACCTACGGATGTGAATCTTGGACTCTCAGACAATCGGAAAGAAGAAAGATAGACGCCACTGAAATGTTCTAATGGAGACGAATGTTACGAATTCCTTGGAACGACCGCAGAACAAATAATTCAATTTTAAGAGAGCTAAAAGTTAGCCAACGACTCTCTAGTAAAGTCCATCTCCAACAATTAAAATATTTTGGGCATATTATGAGAGCAAACACAGAAAACATGGAAAGACTCATAATACAAGGAAAGGTAGAAGGCCGAAGATCACGATAACATAGATCATAACACTAGAAGAAATTAAAAAACACGCCAACGCTATGAAAAATGCAAAGGCTCCAGGACCAGGAAGAGTGCCCATTGAACTGATTTAATATGGCTCTGACAAACTATTTCAGCTATTGGCTTATACTTTTAATTTATTCTTGAGAGGAGAAGAGCTACCCCCAGAATGGAAAACTGCATATATCAGCAATCTATACAAAAATAAAGGCGACAGAAAAGATTGTAAGAACTACCGAGTGCTTAATGTAACTAACTCAATCTGTAGAGTCTATGGGAAGAAAATTAAAAGCCGAATTGAAGATTGTTGGGAAGACGCTGAAGATCAGAGTGGCTTTCGTACTGGTCGTTCTTGTATAGACAATGTGTTCTGTCTAAAACAAACAATAGGAAAGCGTTTGGAACATAATATGGAGACACACATGGTATTTATTGATCTTCAAAAAGCGTATGACAGTGTCCCATTAGCCAAGGTATGGGAGGTGCTAGATGACAAGAATATTCCACCGATTTACATTAATGCTGTAAGGGAGTTGTACGATAATATGACGAGTGTAATAAAGATTAGACAAAAAGTGACAAAAAAGATAAAAGTGACCAAAGGACTTCGCCAATGACTTCGACTATGGGTGTTAAAATTGAAGAGCATACACTGTACAGCTTGCATTTTGCTGATGGCCAAGTAATACTTGCAGAAGATCAAGATGATATCCACTACATGTTACGAAAAATAGATAAAGAATGTACTAAGTGGGGCTTATCAATTAATCCACTAAAAATAGAGTATGTAGTAGTGGGAGGTGAAGGAAAGCACTTAGAACTAAGAAGCAAACAAATTCAAAATACTGGTAGCTATAAATATCTCGGTGTAAACATTACAAACAATGGTCGGAATACAAAAGAAATAGCTACTAGAATTGGTCAAGGAAATTCAGCAATACGTCAACTGAATAGTATACTTTGGAATAACCACATCACCCGAAACACAAAAATTAGGATATACAAAAGTATCATAGAAAGCATTGCTACATATGGTTCAGAGCTTTGGGTAATAAATAAAAATGACGCATCCAAAACAAAAGCAATGGAAATGAATTATTGGAGAAGATGTTGCCAACTCACTAGAAGAGATAGAGTAAGGAATACTGAAATCAGAGAGCGTATGAGCATAGACATTGACATCCTGGAAACTATAGAATACAAAAGGCTAAAATGGTATGGCCATGTAGAAAGGATGAATGATCAACGATGGCCAACCGCAGGAAAAAGGAAACACCAAGAAGATCGTGGAGACAAGAAGTAAAAGGTGCAATGGAAGATAGGGGATTACAAGTAGATGAATGGAACGATTGCAAGCGTTGGAAGCTAGGTTGCGAGAAATGGCGGCAGCTGTAATAAACTTGTTTATATATATATATATATATATATATATATATATATATATATATATATATAATTGGTAAATAAACAAATTTTTATTTACCCAGTCAATGTGAAATAAAAGTAAACTCTTAGTAAAGAGAAAATGTTTCCAACAGACTGGGATCAAATGATTTTCAGTACCCTACAGTGCAGTTTCTAACTACAATGCAGAACTAGCCTACAAATCTAATATATCCCTATTACCAAGGAAGGCAAATAAATACTCACGATCTACCATTGTGCTCAAATCAACCAACAATCAACCAAATGATACCTTTTGATAATTAACAACAACAATATCAGATACAGCCAGAAGTTACCCAGCAAACCAACTTTTCCCATTCTACATCAAACTCTCAAGCTAACTAAAACTTAAAAAACAATCCTGAAACACAGAATGAATATGATTCAATGTCAGATGAAGAACATGTAGACTCTTAAAATAATAAATACTTATAGCAAAAAATACGATCAAAAAGAAAAAGTCTTAAATGTCAAGATTCATTTTTATATGTGCCGTGAATGACTATAGTAAAATAATACATAATTTAGCTCAACCAGTAGAAATAGAAACTTACTTCACTAAAGCCTAGTAAACATTTTACCAAAGACACCTGAATACTACAGAAAACCAATACATCACGTACGAGAGAAAAATATGGTTCCTATACATACCAACCTAAAGAAGACAGAGCATCATCATCATCATCATCCAGCCATATTTTCACATCCATCGTTGGATACAGGCCTCCTCCAAACGTCTCCAGTTCTCTCTATCTCTAGCTGCTCAATCCAGTTTGTTTCTATTCTCTTTACGGCGTCGGTCCATCGGGTGGGTGGTCTGCCTCAACTTCGCTTGTCGGCTCTTGGTCCCCACTCCAATAATCTCTTCGTCTATCTTTCATCTTTCATTCTAGCAACATGTCCAGCCCATCTCCACTTTTGTTTATTGATTCGTAAGACAGAGCATATACAACAGTTATTCGAGATCTACATCACTCTTTTCCGATAGATGAAATAAAAGCAAAAATTCAGAAAAAGTGCCATAAGGTAAGGAACGCTACAAATGTCAGACACAGATTGAGCCGTGAACCATTACCATTATTTTTTAGCGGACCTCGAAGCCTCAAACGAACAAAAAAAATATTTGAATTACAGTATATACAATATTGTAAAAAGGGTTAAACCACCGAGAATTAAAAGAAATTCACCACAATGTACACGATACCAAGAATATGGTCACATTAAAATGTACTGTACAAAACCATATAATTGCGTAAAATGCTCTGGATCACAGAGCACAAAGGACTGCAAGAAACCAAAAAACACGCCAGAAACTTGCACTAACTGCAAGGAAGACCATCCTTCTAATTACCGAGGATGTTCTGTTTATCGCGAACTACTAAATCTTAGATACCATGACAAATCAAACCAAATCACTACTCAAAATCCTGTCAACAATCCCAATGTAAATATACCTACCCAACGTCATGCTCATAATTTCAACATAATCAGTTATAGAGATGCTACCATTGGAAACATAAATGCAGATAACAAATATAACAACAATAAATTAGCAGATAAACTATCAAATTTCTCAAACGAATTCAAAAATATGTTCTCTCAACTCTTAAACCAAAATAGAAATTTTAACCATCTTAACTACAGTCATTAAAAAAAACAAAATAGCTTTCAAGTCACTAAGAATTGCGTCGTGGAATGCTAATGGCATTTCAACGCATATATAAGAGA